CGCCATGCATTCACTCATATACACAAACTACACTGATCTGGGTTCTGAACAGATTTGAACTCCTTTTAAAGGATTGAATCTTGTGTAAATCTAAAAATAGTAATAGTAGTGTATCATTAATTTTAGCATTCTTACTAGTCTTTCAGATACAAGTTCCTTCAATTACTTTAGGAAAAAGGAATGATTGTCAAATTTCCTTTGTTTTTCAGTCTCAGTAGATCAGCTCATTGACTTCTGAAATGAAATCCAGTAGTGTTTTCTCAGGAATAAAATTGCTACAAGAATCCCCGTTTCTACATGGCCATGCGCTCCCGAAGCGTCACCTACCATTCACAGTACAGGGGTGGAAATGTTGATGGGAAAATGTGAAGCTGAGCAGAGGAAGGTAAAACAGCCAGTTAGACTGCACATCCACTAGTTTGTAAACTAACTCAAGGGAACGTGTCAATTCCTGAGTTCTGGGTGCTGGACCGAGTGTTGCCACATAGGCTTCAAGGTGTGCACACTTAAAAAGGATTTCTAAACAGTACTTATTTAACGTAGGAGTTTAATACATTCAAACAGGGCATAAAACTTTCTTAAGGGTCTCTTATGTACCTTGTGGAAACAGAGAATAAAGGCAGTCTCCAGTGCATGAGTAAAATTAGTTACGGTATTTAAATGCTTTTCACAACTACCGTAGTATCAATTTATCAGACATTAAATGCTTAGCTCTCTCAGGAGAGTAACCATATACTTTTGTATTTAGTGAGCAATATATAATGCACTGTTCAAAGTAAAACCATATCCACAATTTGAAACCCTTGCTCATGACAAAACAAGATGTATAAATGTATAGCCAACTTTTAATATATAATCTGAAGAAGACCAGAGCTGCTTCTGCACCTTGAAAACATTATCTTTGATTAAATAGTGATTACAATCTTCCCTCAGATAAAAAAACAATATATGTGTATATATATTTATGTATATAATTTCAAAATCAAAGCCTTGCACTTACTGCATCTTCTTCTGCATGTCATCTGATGGCATTGGAACCAATCCCAACATCCCAGAATGCAGCTTGGCAGGTATTAGTCTCCTGCTTATAATGGGCTCTCTAATTGCAATGCATTTTTTTCCCTTTTGAACTAGCTAACTAACCTGTAATTTTTCTTGGTATCTGCCCAAAGGTAAATGGAGTATCTGATACACCCAAGGAATTCCTCATCTGCTACAGGTGACTTCAGATTGGGAGTTGCCATCATCAAATGAATCTACATGTAACCAGGTTTCAGTAATATCCTCAGGCAAGACGGATTGCTCCTGCTTCCATTTTTACACTGTTTATTAGTTCTTATAAGAAGAATGGTGAAGCCTGCATGCAAGTCTCCTCCCCTGAGCTCCAGCACAAGATTGAAGCTGAGAGAGATTCTGATCATTGAGCAAGTATTGACTTGATTTAGTAAGATAAGAAGAACCTCAACGAGCAATTGCAACTGCTGCTACCCACTAACTTCAGGTGCTTGGCAATTCAGCAGATCAGCAGTGAGCACGCTTATGCCTGACCCACTTTTTGTTCCCCATTTTGCAAACTCAGGGTTATTCTTGTTATTTTGCATTTGGCACTTTGCATTTAGGTAAATGCATGATGATAAAGCATCTTCCACTGTCACAATTTGAAAGGATTCTGCCATTAGCATGTCTAGCTGTTGAAAGTCTATGAATATGTAGAAGTGAGGAGGAGGCTGCAGTATTAAATGCAAAGCAGCATGCTGTGATAATGGGCCTAAAAAGAAAAAGGGGTTGAGCTTGAACTAAAAGACTAACGCTTCTTCCGTTTTCCTCCTTTTGAGCAATGCTGAATTTGTGCTGCTTTATGTTCCTCCAGCTGTTCCTATAGCCTCTTCTTCCTGCTGGCATCTCGAGCAGCAGAGCAGGGGATTCACTGTCCTCACCAGCTGTCTCTTCTCTTCACATTAACACCGTGGTTGCTGGCTGGCCTACTTGTGTGTCAGGCACAAAAGTCTGCCCTCTCACATCGAGGGTAAATTGCAGCTTCTCTAAGAGTGGAACCACTGTGAGCAGTATAGTACTTTTTCTTCATCCCTTTCCTCCGATAAAGACCTATGCTCTCCAGTGCAGCAGCTTCATGGACTTCTCCTTTCTGCAAGAGCACAGAGTGGAGGCAAAGAGGTTGCTGTCTTTCTTTCTTATCATGCCTGTGCATTATCATTGTGGCCTCTGCCTTGTTCCACATGTGGGAAAGTAGGCAAGGATCCTGAGAATAGTGTAAAACAAAGACAAACCAGCCTTTTCACTCAATATATATGGGCTTTGGGTAGAAAGAAAATCAATTCTCTTGTGGGGAGATGAAATGTTTCCCTGAAATGTTACCCACCTGGGCAAGATAGTATTGCACTAGAAACACACAGCCTTTCACCAGTAAAGCACTTCTTTTCACGTGCAGTCAGTCATTAGATAGGTCCTGTGTGTGCCATGGTATAGCACTGTTCTGCTTCTGGACAGCCCTTCTTTTTGTACTACTAGCAAGTGTCCACTCAGGTGTATTCCCATGCAGATTCAAATTAAAACTAACAAAGTGCATGTCAGCCAAAATAGTAAACCCTGCAGTGGAGAAACTGGATTCAGAAATCACACACACAGTCTAGAGAGTGCAGAGTGAATACTGCAACACATGCTAAGGCCATGGCTGCAAGCGCCACTGCCTCTTGGGATGCACAAAGCCATTGCAACACACAGGTGTGGGACTTAATGAAAGCTTGCTTTGATATGTCTGGTAAAACATTCACCTTCCTGACTATGGTTCTCATCAAGAGATCAACGACTTTTGTCTTTAAGTACAGATTTTTATTGAAGGTCTCAGCTAGACGTTACCAAATAATCAGTCCCAAGCACTTGAAGTTGGGCTTTTGGAAGGCATAGAAAATACAGGATTTATACTGTTAATTCTGGGGTAGCCTTTACTCTAGATAGCAGCACAGCTTTCTCTGCCTGACATTTCAAGCTTCTGCATCCAAACCTGTTTCGTGTCATTTATGTCTCCTAATTACAAAGTTAGTTTCAAATCCATTATAGGTTTCCTAACAGGAAAGGTTCCATAATCTTCCATACGAAATTTGGGAAAAGCAACTCAGTTTTAGACAGCTTTTTTAGGTACCAGTGAATTGGTAGACAAACAGATTAAATTCTAGTTTCCTAATAAAAATAGTAATATTATTCCTATAATAAGTAATAATAATACACAGTAGGAAGTAAAGTAACAAAAGTAAAAGTGAGAAAAAAATAAGCTAGTTGTTGAGAAGACTTAATTTCAGTTCAGCTTAAGAAAATATTACCCCAGTATCTATAAATTCATGGATTTAGTTCAAGCAGTTTCTCTCCATTTCAGTTCACACTTGGGTGCTAAAGGATACACCACATGTGAACAGTGGGAAGGAGCCTGTGGTTCAGTAACAGTCTCTGACATAACACACCAGGCTTGGAAGAGCTTTCAACACTAGTTGACATGTTTGGGACTTCTGCTTAGGAACAACGTTAAGTCCTGCATTGTCTACCTGCAGGTCCCCTGTTTTCAAAAGGAGAAAAGGACACTGTAAATCTTAGAATCATAGAATGGTTTGGGTTGGAAAGGACCTTAAGATCATCCAGTTCCAACCCCCTGCCATGGGCAGGGACACCTCACACAAGACCATGTCACCCAAGGCTCAACCTAGCCTTGAACACTGCCAGGGGTGGAGCATTTACCACTTCTCTGGGCACCCTGTGCCAGTGCCTCACCACTCTCACAGTAAAGAACTCCTTCTTTACCTCCAGCCTGAACTTCCCCTGTTTCAGTTTGAACCCATCACCCCTTTTCCTATTGCTACAGTCCCTGATGAAGAGTCGCTCTCCAGCATCCTTGTAGTCCCCTTCAGACACTGGAAGCTGCTCTGAGGTCTCCATGCAGCTTCTCTTCTCCAGGCTGAACAGCCCCAACTTTCTCAGCCTGTCTTCATATCCCTGATCAACCTCGTGGCCTCTGGCCTCGCTCCAACAGATCCATGTCCTTCTTATTTTGAGGACACCAGAATTGCACACAGTGCTGCAAGTGAGGTCTCATGAGAGCAGAGTAGAGGGGCAGGATCACCTCCTTTGACCAACCTTGTGGCTAAAGCAGAATCATCTGTTTCAGATAGCTTATTGACAAGGATCTCTTGGATCAGCATGTGGGTACAGTGGTGTAAAAGACTGTAGGTATGTGTGTAGACATTTTCTAAAAGCAAAACCAACCTAAAAGTGCAGTAAAAATACCTCTGCATAAAATTCAGTCAGCTATTAAAAATGCTGGTGAAGTCTCAGTGTCAGAAGGCGTGAATGTCACCGTTTATCAAACACACTGATTCTGCTTTCTTCCTTTAGCACAGTTACTTTAATCATTATTTCAACAATGACATACTGTATGAGATGGAGGGTTGGGGCTTGGCTTCTATAGTGTGGTTCAGCTTTTAGACTTGTGCTCCAGACTTCTGTGCACACCTTTTATTTGTATGCAAACAGTATTTGTGCAGGTGTCTGCCTGGTGGTTGGGGCATGCAAAACCACGGCTTGCCAAAACTTGGTTTGGGCACCAGAGGGACGTGTTCTTCCATTTCAACCGAAGTCCACATTCTTGATGGAAGAACTTATGATTTCTTTGTGTATTGCACATGAATAAGAGTACAAGATATAGTAGAATAAAACTTTGTGACAGAATTCTGGACTCTTTCTCTGATGCCTCCAAACTAAGGTTTCTGTCTTAACCCCCTGATACTTACTGATAACTGATACATTCCAGGATAACAAAAGCTGATTCTCCCCAAATTTGAGGCAGGGAAAAAGAGTGATCCCTGATTGGAAATACTGCAAAAAGGGAACAAGCTAAGGAACCTCAGCCATGAGGTCTTTAAGCAGGGACTTCTGTACACCTTCTGGAATCAAAATCAGTAAGTGTTAAATTGGAGTATCAAACTGAATCAATTGATTGTAAAACTTAATATAACTCTGAGTATCAAAATGAACAGGTTTTCAATTAAAACTTCCAGTGCAGTATGATCAGAAGTGAAATAAAGCCAACAGCTCTTTTGGAGGAGAACTGCATAGGTATAACAGGGGTTTGTGCAAGGATTGGTTCAGTGGAAAGGGAACTCAGTCCATTTTCTTGCAAATGCTGGTGCATCCTTTAGCTCTGCATTCAGCTACTGCTCTTGTTTGTAGGTATGGCATCACTATCCTCTTTGGCTTTCCCAGTAGGAGTGATACAGTGCTGCTTGCTTAGGAGGAAAAGTACAGTCCATATTCTCAAGTACCTGGAGAGAGGTACTGGAAGGAGCATAGAGCATTCCCGCACACAGCACATATCCACGCTATAGGAGCATGCAAAAACCAGACAAAAGATATCATTCAGGCTTCAGAAATGAAGTAAGAAGCAACCACATCAACTACAACAGAATCCAGACTAGCTAGCAGATGAGGGAGTGCTGACTTACTGAGGTATGCTGAGTAGGTAGCCAACAATATTAGTCTAGCATACTATGAATGCCTACAATACTCATCCCAGTCTTTTTGCTTCAGATTTTGAAGAAGTGTGGGATATCTGCCGATGAACTGAAACACAGTATAGCTTTGGAGCTTAGAGGGAAAACCTATGGTAAGCTGGCATTCTGGGGGAAAAGCTCACTACATTCCCATTTTGTTACTCTGTCTTCCAGGCCAGGTTGGATGGGGCTTGGAGCAACCTGCTCTAGTGGAAGGTGTCCCTGCCCGTGGCAGGGAGTTGGAGCTGGATGAGCTTTAACGTCCCTTCCAACACAAAGCATTCTAGGACTCTGTGATTCTCCTACAGCCCGATCAATGGTAATCTACTAATGATCTGGATTCAGCTGAAGTTGGGAATATAACTTGACATTACTCTCAACTTGTCATCTCCTTCAAAGCAGATGACAAAAGATTTGTGCTTCATTGTCAAACACAAGCATGTATTGCTGCCAAGAAAAAGGATGCTGGGCAAAGGGGTTCTGATGGCCATTGCCTGGCATGGGTCTATGTTTGGGAAAAAAAATGCACTTCCAGTCATTTGGGTGTGGGGCTTTTCATGGAGCCGTCTTGATTCACGTGCTTTCCTAAGGAGCCTTAGGGAATGGCTCGGCCTATCTCTTGCTCCAAATTTCAAGCAGATTTGACACATGAGCCAAGATCTCAGAAATAATTAAATTCCCAACATTTCTTGGAAGACAGGAACCAAAGGCAGGAAAAAAAGAGTGGATTTTGAGGTTTTTCCTTCAAGGAAACCATTTCCCACTGTGCTGTTGACTACAGCAGGCTGGCCGGTCACCATTTACCTAAAACTGGATTCGCCACCCTCTGTGAGGATTTTGCCCTGTGGGGGTGACCCTGAAATGAGACACAGAGCTAAGATATCCCTATTTATTAGGGGAGCAAAGGTGCTTTGTGGATGAGACCATATCAAACTATAGTGAAGCTGCTTCAGTTTTGCTGCTCATAAAGCAATGGTTTGTCTTTCTTGAAATGTACTCAACTAACACTGAGTACAGAGTGAGCAGAGCCTTCCTGTCCTCAAAGAAGCATACACTCAACAGATTGTACCATAGCTGAGGCACCAAATAAAATCTGGGGTGGAACTATATACAGCATTTTGGTCCTTGGCTAGAGGACCATAGTTTGCCTCATGTATGAATGGGCAAGGTTGGGTAATAACTTTTAATCTCTCTAAGGTCATTTTGATATAGCCAGGGTGCCAGAGAATGAGAACCTGAATGTAGCTGCTGAAGTGGCAATATGTTGGATCAGGTTTTTCTGAGGACTGAAAGTAACACAGTGATAAAGCTGTGCAGGAAACTTTGTCCAAAATCATAAAATACTTCACTTTTTTTTTCCTTAGAGCACAGCCCTATCTGTGTCATTCCTTTTCCATTTGTTGTTCTCGGCCTGAATTCCTTAGATAACTTTGCTAGAGACTTGAGTTTTATTGTAGATATGGAAAACTGCCTAGAAGTTTTGCTCTTTGGTTTTTCTGGCTGCTCTCCAGCCTCAGGAACACTCAACACGCAGCACATTCAACTTGCTCCAGCAATCGGTCTTTAAAATAAGGCCAAAACTAAAGCACACCATACAAAATTACCCTGCTGCTTCCAAGTAATGCCTTCAGAAACCAGGCAAAGGGAGCTGTGACCCAGACCTTCAGAGGGTGAGTTCTAACTCTGCTCTACTTGTTATGTGAGCCTAAAACACAGCAACAAGTAAAGGTGGCAGCGTTAGAGGTCAGTGAGCACTGCTCAGTGCTGCAGATCCTGAATTACTGATGCTTCTATGACCATCCAATAACCAAAGACGCTGTGGGCTGTGCACACATGTAAGTTGTTCTCAGTGCTGGTCTGGCTAGTACCTGCTGCTGACAACAGTGAAGATATACGTGGAGAGAGCTGGGTTCTGCTAGACAACTGTTAACAAAAACTTAGCTGACTTCTGTGAAACATTTATAGCTACATACAACCAGCAGAAAACCTGCAGAATAACAGATGGAGTTACGTGAAGCCTATAAAGACAGTAAGCTGGATTTGAAGGTGTCTGAGAGCATGACACATAATATACACTATACATCCAGGTGGTATAACCATGCCTACTTGACAGTTCCAAACATAAAGTCCTGATTTCTGTTGCTTATTAGTTTGCCAGCACATTATTTGAACTCTAAATCTGCATGCTCGGTCTCTGCCCTAAGGTGACAGTATGCTTGTGTGTGCCCCCAGATGGACAAGACAGCAACAATCAATTGCTGAAGAAAGAAAAATAGTAAAATGAGTAAGCATTTCCAACTATTTCTTTGAAGCTGGAGTGTGCCCAGCCTTTCAAGAAAGTGTTTCAAATATGGTGAGATGGTTACTTTGATTAAGGATGTGTTTATTGACATCTTGTGAACTGGTATAGTTCCCCTTGCTGGCCATCCACTGGTTTTACTTACAGGCTGAACTGGCTGTTGGGTCACAGTCCCAGGCAAGATGAAAGCATGAACAGCATGGACTTATACACGGGTTGCCAGGGGCCAAGACTGTGCCCGTCATCCTTTCTCTTGGTGGAGAGAGAGTTTAAATGCTTAAGCCCTGAAACTTAAGACATCAGCATCAAACCTCCCAAGAAACTTGTGCATGTTCCCCGGAACATATTCCATGATCACTCTGTGCTGTCAGAGACCTTTGATGAAGGCAGAACACAGCACCCAGACTTTGCATGAGGCTTTTAACATGTTTACTCTTTACTCAGAAGGTGCACCAGAAAGAAGATAAGATGAAGAAAGAAGACAACTGATATTCCTGTCACTCCGTTTCCTCACTGCACTGAAGCAGAGCTGGGACTGTGCTGAGCATCTTCCAGGTTTCTACAATTCCTTTAATCTCAGCCTTCCTTCAGAAGTTTCTCTTTCTGCTACTCCTAAATATCACTTTATTTTGACATCATTCTGTCCTACAGTTACACTGGATCTTTCTGCTACAAAGCCTGCTTGTCTCCACCCCTGTGGTACTCACAGCTTTCTGTGAGCTTCAGTGAGTCTGCTTGGGTTCCCTCACCACTAGTGGAAACTGTGTGTCCTTGAGCAACTTACTGAGCCTCTGCCTCGGTTCCCCATTCTGGAAAAGGGGAATTGGTATTTCATGTCCCCCACCTTTGGTCTTGACCTGTGTTTCAGTTATAAGAAAAGGTAGGCTTTCATACAACACATGTAGTAACTCTTTTTTACTGAGCCATGAGAGGAAGGATTTCACAAGAGCATGGACTCACAGAAGGACAGAGCCTGGACACACACAGAACTGGGGCAGTTAAGGGAAGTTATGATCCCGAGGCAGCCAAAGAGTTTAAGAGTTGGGCAACAACTCCAGACCTTCCTGTGTGCTGAATGTCCTGGCTGACACAGGCTTTGATAAAGGAGGATATTATTGCTTTTTTTGCAACTTCTGACCTGATGCCAGATATTGTCCAATTGTAGACAGTCCTCAAAAAGCTTGGTTGTGTTTTTTCTATCAGAGGATATGAATGACTGATATTTCCTTCAAAAGAATTCCAAATAAATAGGTGAAATGTACTAAATCTCAGACTATCTGGGAAAAAAAAATGTAAAACCTAGCTCTTTGGGGGGGGTGAGTTTGACAGTTTTCTATTGTAAAGACAAATTCAACCTATTCGCTCACCTTCATTACTCAGAGGCTTCAGAGGATTTGTTCTATAGCTGAACAACAGTTAGATGAGGCCACAGAGGAGCCCAGCAGGCCTGACAGCAAGGAGGTGAACCTCTGTCATGGATACAGCGCCTGGCTCAGTGGGTTCAGATCCTGCCCCAGCCTTCTGGCTATTTCATAACGGCTCTGAGTCCTCACACAACTGTGCCTCGAGTTCTGCTCCATCAGCTCACCCACTGTGGGTGGTGTAGGATCACAGAGCAATGCCTTCAGGTCCTTTGTACCTCAGAGGCTCTCACTGTACAGTGCACTTCACCAGCTGGTAAGTGGCAAACCTGAAGTGCTGCAAAACTACCATCTGCCATGTTCATATATTCATATACATAAGTAACAGGCATTTTGCATATTTATTTTTAGGTGTTTTTTCTTTAGAAGACATGCAGCCTGAGACACAGTGAAACAGCTTCAAACACTCACTTGATGGCTCCATTAGCTTTTTCTCTGCTGTGATTTAAAACATATAGGTCCAAATTTCTTCTACAAAGTTAATGAGGGAAAGGAAGAACTGTAAATTAGCAGCATCATTTTTAAAATACTTGGATTGTGTTTTTCAAATTGTTCCATGTGATTATAACATTTCAGCTATACTGGTACAAAACTGTTCACTTGCATAAAATGTGGCATGTGAAGTACTTTCAAGGTCACACAGCTGAGGCAAAGGAGGTTTAGTCTTCACGTATTAGAAGGAATCCAAACAAAGATACCCATGCAGTTTTAAACACCCACCTAATACTCACAAGAGATGGTTTCTAGGCTTCTTTAGAAAGCACAGTGTGAGCTACTGCACTTAGGATCAAGGACCAAAGCAAATCTCAAAATTGCATCATACACAAGGCCAAGGAAGTAAGGTGCTGAGTCCTATTGCTTCATCCAGTGCAAGAGACTCCATTGCAGCAATGAGTTAAGAAGCTGAAGTAAGAGGTAGGCTGAGACACTGCAATATGTGAGCAACACAGAGCAGGGCTGGTTCAGGTACTCAGAGCTGAACTGTCAGGTTAGTTTGGAGGAGCAGAACTTCGCTGCTCTCACGAATGCCCATGAGTCCCATGACTGAACTGTGGCACACGTGGAAAATGCAATCCAGAATACATATAATCTCAGTCATCACTTGGAAACTTCTGACCTATATGCAAACTTCCAAGGAGCTACCACTGCAGATACACTATCACTGCAATTATGGGTAGCCATGGAGCTCCAGTTTTGTGTATGTATAATACATTGTTATGCAAACACACGTCTACTTTTAAACCTCAGTTTCATGGTCATCGTGGATTTAATTTCAAAGCATCAAAAAGAAGGCAGGAATAAAGCCTTCTGCAAATAGGCCTCAGTTACATCTAGAAAGACTTTTTACAAACAGTTCAAACACAGGCAGCCTGAAACCCTGAAGTGCAACCGTGCTGGTCAGGAAAGGACAGTCACAACAAATGGTGCACTTAAAAATGCAGCTTGTACTTGGTACAATTTCATTCTTGTGCTGGTTTAATATTTAAATAGAAAAAGACAAAGATTATTAGATTTTTTCATCCAAAAATGATGAGATTCCCACCAAATTCTTTATATGAGATTCACAAAATGCCCCTTAGAAATAGCACTTGGGCTCTTCTATCTGCTCTCAGATTCCTTAATTTAACCTTGTGTAGCAGGTCCATCACGTGTTTAATCCTGACCCTTTAGCCTGGGTTCACAGGTTCACTAATTCTCCCCATGTCACTGTACAATTAAAAGCACTGCAAAAGCTGTGAAAATCATATTCCCTCCCTCCCTCCGTCCATCCATCCATCCATCCATCCATCCATCCATCCATCCATCCATCCATCCCCTGAGACTCACCAGAGCCTGACACCCCTTCCCACACCCAGCTCGCCCACTGGCACCATCAGGAGTGGTCTTGATCCGAAGGAGAAATCCAAAGGCTTGAGGCAGACCCGTCTGGGAGCAGAAACCAAGTGCACTGGGGTTAACAGTTCCTGGGGAGAGCACAGGCAGGAGCTGAGCCAGTCCCAGCGATTCCCCTTTCCACAGGCTCCAAATGCATTCTTTGTGTTAGCAGAAATACCTGGACCCACAGGCTGGACTCGAGTGTCACATGGGGGACAGAGCTAAAAAAGGCAAACCCATCGGCTCAGTTCAAACTCCCCCAGTGTGTCAGTGTTTTCCCTCAGGCTGTTTATGTGCCTCTTCCAAACTTTTATACAGTTTCCCTGGAATTTTAATATCCAGCTCCCTTTGGTTGCGTCCTTTTTCACTCTTTTATTTTTAGATGCAGTATTTCACAGTGGTCTGCAGAGCCTGCTTGACGCCAGCAAATGTAACTGGATCCTGAGTCCCTGCGAGCCAGGAATTGCAGCCATGATCAGCATGCTGCCGAGAGCAAGAGCACAAACCTTGGCACTGGCCACAGACACATCGTCTGAATCCTCCATTTATCTCATGGCAGGGCTTGGGAAAGGAGGCAAGAAGAGTTCATCAGAATGTAAGGAATAGCTGGGAAAGGTTAGGGGTAAGCAAATAGAAATCAGCAATGCAAATAAGTCTGTCCTACAACAGATTTGTGTGACCAGACTGCCAAAAGCAAGAGCAGAGATTTACAGAGAATGAACAGGGATGTTTCATTCTCCAGTAAGCTAGTAACAGGACAGGCATGCACAAACCAGATTGCCTTTAGAAAAGGCTTCTGTCAGCAAGGTTGACTTTAGTGCAGTAAATCAGAATAGGCTGCTTGGCAGCAGGTCACTGCTGACAGTGATCTCACAGGTCAGACTTTCCAAGTTATGATGGCTCGCTTGATACACACAGAACTGCAGAAACCAGTTCTGTCCAGGATTCATGTGGGCTATCCCATCTTCCACCCAGCCTTTGGTAGGAAGGTGTCAGGTTGTTACCTTGCTCTTTCACAGCATGCAGCTGGAATACATTTGGTCTCTGATAGTAAGGAGCTGAATTACCAAAAGAAGTGTGAACATCTGTTTCATTTTCTATCACTTCTGTCCCTTTCTTCCTGTAGCAGAGAACAAAATGAAGGATTGCCAGTGCTTCTGATTGAGAAATTATTCATCCTAACTATTCTAGGATCTGTAACTATGGTATCCAGTGTCTACAGTGCAGTGGGACCGCTTCACAGGAGAAAAAAACAAGAGCATGGAGGCAGTTATTTCCCAAAGGTGACATGATGAGTCAGCAGCAGAGCCCAGATTAGAATGGAGTGTTCAGACTGCCCATCCCACGTGCAGCTCACTAAACCACAGCTCCTCCTGCAGCCTCCAGGGAATAAAGTTCATTTACCCCAGTGGTAAATGCACGACTCCTGCCCTCGCACATCACCTGGTTATTGATTGAAGTTTTGGCAGGCTTAGCCCTTCCCAAGAAAGAGTGCAATTCATAGAATCCCAGAATCCCAGCCTGGTTTGTGTTGGAAGGGCCCTTAAAGCTCCTCCAGCTCCAACCCCTGCCACGGGCAGGGACCCCTTCCACTGGAGCAGCTTGCTCCAAGCCCCTGTGTCCAACCTGGCCTTGAACACTGCCAGGGATGGGGCAGCCACAGCTTCTCTGGGCACCCTGTGCCAGCGCCTCAGCACCCTCCCAGGGAAGAGCTTCTGCCTAAGAGCTCATCTCAGTCTCCCCTCTGGCAGGTTCAAGCCATTCCCCTTGGCCTGTCCCTACAGGCCCTTGTCTTGTAAAAAGTCCCTCTCCAGGTTTCTTGTAGCCCCTTTAGCTATTGGAAGGCTGAAATCAAGAAAAAAATCAAGAGAAACATTTCAAGGTAAAAAAAAACAAGAAAATCAGGGAAAACACTGGTCTTACCATGGACCAAAGGATACTGCAACAGCAAAACTCCTCGTGGAAAGAACAAGAACACTGATCTGCCAATACACTGCATAGCTAGATTGTGTGTAACACTGAAATTGCTTGAAAATTAATCTTTTACAAGGCATCTTCTCTGTCTTTGTGCAAGTACCAAACACAGAGTAAAAGAACTGTAAAGCTGTGATCTTGAACAGAGTGATGTTATCGGTCACTCTTCTCCACTGCATAAAGAAAGCTCCACCTCTCCTTTTTTATTCCTGGCATATTGAAAGCTGGTTTGGGGAAATCCTGCAATGTAAGCATGTCTCCTTGGCATAGGTGCTATTCAGTAGTCATATTTGCTCAACTATAAGTGATGCCACCTCACACACAGGCACAAATGCTCTGCCTTCACTGCGTTGCTGTGGCATGGGCTGGGAGGACATTGTAGAAGTGTATCTGTGTCGTCTCCTGCTGTATTCTTGTCCCCTGCTTTTTCAGTTGCTCTTTTTAGCGCATCTGTACCACAGTTCTTGGTTCTCCTTGAGCCTCCTCGTTCATGGTGGTTCACTCTTCATCCTCGTTGCCCCATTTAGAAAACTCTTAAAAGGAAACAGAAGAGAACTGATATTATTGACCTCCAACACTGAATATCATGGTTTAGGAACCATGTGGTTGTTACCACTCTGAGGC